TATCATTTGTAATAATAACAGTAATTGTCTTCTGCTTATGTTTCTGATTGGATTTCATTTTGGCTTATTTGTTAAATAGAAGGCACGCTGAATGAGTCTCAGGAGATATAGAGTACAATAGTAGGAGTGTATGCCTCCTACCAAAAGTAACCCTTGAATCCTCTAAGTTCAAGGGAGTTGTGGTAGGACGGGTGAGCTGTGGTAGTAGCAGGAGTGTACTGAGACCAGCTTGAACTAACTCAGCAGAGTCAATCATTCAGTTTTATTGTGAGCATTTGTAACTTGGAAATCAGCAAACACTACAATTTCAGGCTTGATTCATTGTTTTGTTAATTATCTACCAGGGGTAGGGAACCTGCGGCCTTAACTTGATGACTCTAGGTCATCAAGTGCGGCCCTTCGACTGAATCCAAACCTCACAGAACAAGTAGCCATAATAAAATGATTTGTTCTGTAAAACCTGGACTCAGTCAAAATGCTGCATCCAAGGCCCCAAAAAGCCACATGTGGCTTTGAGGCTGCAGGTTCCCCCCCCCCCCGACTCTTGACCTAAGAAAGTGATGGAGAAAAAGTTAATAATTTAAATTAAACTAAATTAAATTAAAGTATGCCATGCATATATTTTTTCCCAGACAGCCAGTTATTAAATATTTACCAGCATATTCTGGGTAGTTGCCATCCCCTCTGAAACTTTCACTGACATGACAGTGTGAGTGCAGGTCAGGTAAGCTAGTCAAACCACAGAAAACATAGAGAAAAGGCAGGGAGGAGCAGGAAACGCAAGCTCTGAGGTATTTTAGGTCTTACCAGATGTCTGTCCAAATATCAGCTCTTCTCTGAGCTCAGTTCTGTTATAGACTTTGCTTTGCCATCCTGTGAGCCTTAATTTTAGCTAGCCTTCTGGTCCAAAAGACGGTCTCTTCAGTGAGATAACTCACATCTATCTCATGGTGATAAAATCTGCATTTCTACAATCTATACCATTTATCCCATGGTTACCATGTCCTAAGGACTAGGGTTTCTCAGCTTTTAACATCCAAGCCCTCATGCAGTTTTGGTGCTGGAAAACAAGACATGTCAACCACTTTTTCTTTGAGTGTCTTTTCTCTGTGGAGATACTTTTTTAGTATTTCTCCCACTACTGTCTTTGTTTCTGCCCTCTCCATTAACAAACTATCCAAATCTGTAATGGGCAGATCAAGGCCAGTAGAGATGGTCAGCATGTTTCCCTCAAGTTATTTTGTTGTGCCAGTATTTTTGGTATACAGTATAAGCAAAATGGATCACTTTTCTAAAAGATAAATTATAATGAGTGTTCTTTGTATTATTTTAAGGCACTTCAATATTTCTTAATTTAAAAAGCAAAAAAAGCTGTTTAATAACACTTTTAATATACAAATTATCAAACTTTTTATTTCTATAAAAAAAATCCCTTTAACATACATTTGATTTTATTCTTCAGCTGAAAAGAACTGGTGCTTAAATACAAAACCAACAGTGGGGCTTTAAAAATATCACATTGATACCTTTTGCACATAACCCTGTAGGCCAGCATGGTGGTTGCTATCTTTTTGGCTTATTTCTACATAGACTTAAAAAGAAACATAACATTCTGACAGACTTTCCTCACACCTTACTATCATACAAAGTTCTCTACACCAAAAATTTCTTAGTAAATAGCACTAGCAGTAAGCCCACATTTCTATTATTCTTTCTTAGCATTCTCCTAAGTGCCAAGTTGCTGAAATGAGCAATTTTTTAGAAGTTCTTTCGGTTTGATCTGTGCTACTGCTTCCTGGTTCTTGAACAAATTTGCTATGCATTTTGTGAAAAAATAAGAAACCAAAAAAAAAAAAAAAGTCATTCTAAATACCCCAAAGTTTCCCCTGGGAGTTAATATCAGTTTTGTTCTCTTCTTCAAGTTGTTACCAGTCATTAACTTCAACCACAAAAGGGTCTTTTACATTTATCTTGCCACTATTTGTAATCACACAGTCTGTAAGTGGACGGTCATGCTCATCTGTTTGTTGGAGTTCTATGGAGTGCACCACAGCCTAGAAAAAAGAGGTAGGGCAGGGAGGGAAGAGAGACAGGTTGATTTAGTTTCAAACCAAAGTTTGGGAAAAAATCACCAAAGCATAATCTCAATTCAGAAAGCATAAATGGGAATAGGCAGGTATCTCCCATATGACAAAAAGTTGGCTTTTGCTTTAAAATTTAAAAACACTTGGTTTTCATAAGAGCGAATTCTACTTGCATGCCATAACACAATGTGAGACTTAACAGGGAGCTTCACCTCATGATGGTGGCTTTATAAGCATATTACAAGTTAAGCACAAACATAAAGTAATGGGACACAGGACAAATTTCAAAACAAAATTATCAAAATAATTGTATTTCCTAAGATATACCAATGGGACATCTGAAAGGTAATTTGAAAAATTTAATCTGCCCACTTAGAACTAGATCTATACACAATAAATAATATCAGGTATAGCTACTATAAATCTATGCTAAATAAGGAGTTGTAAAATGAATAGATTATTCATCCTTAATGTGAGCTACTCCCAAAAATCTGAATAGGCTGAACACATTTACATTCACTTTTTAAACAGATAACTTTTGAAAACTATACATATGATTCCAAAGCCAGTAGCATGACTTTGAGATGAAAATGCAGATTCTTTTGGTACAATGCATCTTCCATTCCTCCATTCATTTCTATATTTCTCATAAAGTGCTCTACTGCCTTTAACTTCAACTACTAGAAATTCTCCTCACTTTCCACAAGTATTATCTGCAATTTAATCAGTTTTTCAAGAAGAGGTCAAACACGGTTGATAAATTTACTGTTAAACATGTTTAAAATTAAATTATATAACATGACTCATTAATATAATGCTTAAAAAAAACCTTCTCATTACCATTCCATCAATGACTTTCCCAAATACTACATGTTTTCCATCCAACCAGCTAGGTTTGGTCACAGTAATGAAGAACTGGGAACCATTGGTATCTGGCCCAGAATTTGCCATGCTGACCCATCCAATGCCATAATGCTTGAGCTTAAAGTTCTCATCTGGAAAGTTGTTTCCATAGATACTGGTACCTAAAATAGACAAAAGCAAATAAAGGTGAATATCTACACATATGATACAGGGAAGGATTTTTTCTCTGACAGTGTACTAGAGGGAAAGTCAAGTACACTCTATAGGGAGTTACCACCATAAAATATATTGGATTCTTTTTTTGTTGTTTGGTTTTAGAAAAAATGATCTTTGATTTTTATTTTATGATCAATAGCCATTCTTTAGACATGAAAATGCGTATACAATTCTTTATGTGTAGATCAGTTTTTAACATTAATTAATAAAAATTAAACACACAACATACAGCCTCCCAAATCAAAAAGCAAACAAAACTGTTTTTAAACTATTTTAAACTAAATTTTATTATTTTTATTTTTTGATATCTAAAATACTTATATTTTAAAATTTTAAACTGAATTTAAAAAAATCTTTGTGTTGGGTGCCATTTTGTACAACAGTTAATTTAACCATTATGACCTCAGTTGTACTTTTTAAAAAGTAGGAAGAGAAAATGAAGTCATTGAAGAGTTTTTAAGCTGAAGAACTAGGCAGTTTTTCTAAACAGAGGAAGCATTAAATATTAGTTATCCAAAAATCCATGTTTAAAAAATTTAGTTCAAATCACAGAATTTTTTTCAGTGGAGATATGCATAATTAATTGCTGTAAATGATCATGTTGAAAGGAAGAAGTTCCTTCAATGTATAACTTTATTGATTTTGGCAGAGAAAAGAACAAGAAAGAATATGATTAAGAAAGGGGGAAGAGGAAGAAAAAGAAAAATGCAGGAATTAATCTAATAGTAATTGCGTTTGCTAGAAAAACTCTGTCAGTAATAGAATGCTATATTCTTTCTTCAGAAGGTGCTAATTCCAAGTTACTGTTATTACGCATGGAGTCAGAGGACTTGGGTTCAAATTCCATCTCTGCCATTTGCTACCTGTGTGATCTTGGGTAAGTCTCTTAATCTCACTGAACTTTAACTTCTTCATCTGTAAAATGAAAGGTTGAACTGGATGACTCCTAGGTTCCTTTTCTAATCTATGATCCTATAAACCTGTTTGATTTTCTTTGTTGTAGTGTCTAGATCCAAATGTTTTGTTGTTTATCTGAAAGCACTTAGAAGATCTTCTACATTATTAGGAAACTGGTTCTTGTGGATTTTGATATGCCCTTTGTATATATTTTTAAAGCTTTGGCAAATTCTCCTACTGGATGTATCTGGTCATAGAATATGGTGACATTCATTACTTTCAAGCAGAAAAATACTGTCATTTTATTTTTAAACCTGATTCTGCATTTAAGTATTTTCAGTGTGGTCCTTAAATAATTTGTTGTATCTTCTGATAGATTTTCATTATTTAATCTAATTTTGTTTTGGCCTCACTTAAATTTTCAAAGTTGGGGTTTCTGGGCAAAAAATACATATTTAATTTGCCAAATAATTACTTAATTCATTTTCTCCTTCTGCTGGAATGGTATTAATCCTCATATGACTTGGTCTTCTTCTGAAGTAGCTAAAATCATCCTGTGTGGTATGATTTGTCATCTTGAGTTAACATCAAATCAGAGTATGAATTGAAAGCTTTTTGCAAACTGTTTAGCAAGAGCCTGCTCTCTCTCTAGGTGACACACTAGATATGGAATGCTTGTTAAAGCTCCTCAAAGACTTCACAACATTGCCTATAATCTAAGAAAATTAACAAAATTTCTTTGCTTTGCGTACTAGTGAAATAACAGTATCCCATGTTCTCTCTTGCAACTTCTTATCTGCTGGATGCTGTATTGTATTGTATTGTATTGTATTGTATTGTATTTCATGGCTAGGCCCTCTGTATGACTCTAAATCCTTCAGGATACCTTCTGCATGTAATATTATATTTAACTGATTATTAATTTTCTTTTCAGATTCTGTAGCCTGGGAACTTTCAGAATCAAGGGAAGAAACTGACCCCTGTTCAAGGTCTGTGCATGTCAAAATTTTATTTAGATTTCCCCATGTTAAATTGTCCTCAGTCTGAGAGATTCTTTGGTTCATAAAATGTCCCTAGGGGAGAGATGGAAGGAGAGGTGGAAAGTCAGAAAAAGGAGCCCTTGCACTTCGCACCCATCCTTGTATGGAGCCAAGCCAGGAGGTGGCAGTAGTAACAACCAGAGAGGGCAGAGGACAATAGATTATATTGTAAAGTTCATTTTTAAGTCAATTGTTTGGAACTCAATATATTTTTTCAAAAGTAAAAAAAAATGCTATACAAATATTATATAAAGGAACTTAAGTTCTCAGAGTGGCCAACAGAAACCTATGTTGTACTACTCTGAGAAAGCTTCATGTATGGTCCCTGGAATGAACTGTGTCTGCTTTCCAAGAAGTAGCCTCACTATGTGCAGATAGGTCCATTACCAGTCGGCTGCCTACCAGGAGATGAATTATTTAGCTATTGTTATGAAGCAAAGAAAGATGAAATATTACTCTTAGGCCTGTGAGGCTTCCTTCTGGTGGCAGAGTAGTGGAAAATTAGAGAGAAGATGCTAAGAAGCACATAATTTTTTTATATAATCTATAAACATTAACTTAATTGTTAGATATTTAGATATAAGATTCCTGTTCAATATTGCTAGAAGAACAGAATCACAGAAATAGGAGTGAAGTTGTATGATATGGCAGCCAAGAAAGCAAATGACATTTTGGATTGTGTTGAGAGGCCTAAACTCCTAGGTCTAAGGAGGGAATGGTTCCTCAGCACTCTGCACCAGTCAAACTGCCTATAGAACATTTTGTTCACTTGAATCCACGTAGGTTAAGAAAGACTTTCACAAGCTAAAGAGCATTCAGAGGAGGGCCATGAGGATGGTCAGTCAACTACAGGCCTTTATTAAGCACTTATCTATATGCCAGCTTATTGTGCTAAGCACTGATACAAAAAAAAAAGAGGAAAAAATAGCCCTGCCCTCAAGGAGCTTACATTCTAATTGTGGAGACAATACACAAAACTACCTGCAAACAAGATATACACAAGGTTAAATGCTGCTCTCAAAAGGAAGGCACTCACACTAAAGGAGGGACTGGAAAAGGCATCTTGCAGAGGGTAGGATTTTAGCTGAGACTTGAAGGAATCCAGGAAAGCCAGGAGGCAGAGATGAGGAAGGAGAGCATTGTAGACAGGGAGGGACAGTCAGTGAAAATGCCCAGAGTCAGGAGCTGGAGTGTTTTATTTGGGGAACAGTATTAAGCCAGGATCACTGGATTGTAGAAATCATGGAGGGAACTAAGGTATAAAAAGACTGGAAGGATAGGAGGGGCCCAGGTCATGAAGGGTTTCAAAAGCCAAATAGAAGACTTTATTTTTGATCCTGGAGCTGATGGGGAGCTACTGCAGTTTGTTGAACAGGGGTATGACCTGTAGTTTAGGGAGATCAGTTTGACATTCTGACAGGACATACGAGGGTGGGGAAAAACTTGAGGCAGGGAGACCCACCCCATGGCCATTGCAATAGTTCAGCTGTGAGGAAATGAGGACCTGCATGATGCAACGTCAGAGGAGGGAAAGGTTGTATGTGTTGCAAAAGAAAAATGAACAGGACTTGACAACAGATTGGATATGTGGGATAAGCAACAGTGAGTTGAGAGTGATACTTAGGTTGTGAGCCTAGGTGACTAGGAGGATGGTGATGGGCTTGAGTCTAGATTCTATGAGGATCAATTGAAAGAACTGAGAATATTTAGAGAAGAATATTATTTGGAGAAGAAATCACTCAGTCATGTTTTTACACTGTTGTTGTTATCATATAAACTGGTCTCCTGATTCTATTCATTTCATTCTTCATCCGTTTATACGATGATCTTTCGTGACTCTAAAGGTCTGATGATGAAACATGCTATCCATTACAGAAAAGTAATAGATTTAGATTATAAAATGAGATATGAAGTGATTGTGTGTGTGTGTGTGACATACATACATGTGCATTGAATATATATGTATATAGGTAGGTAGGTATATAGCCATTTAGGGAATTTGTTTTGCTTGATTATGCATTTTTCTTTTCTTTTGTTTTTCCAATGGGGTGGAAGTAAGGTAGAAGGGAGAGATAGATTTTTTTTTAATAGATCAGTGAGGATGTGAAATGTTACATGCATTTTTGGATGTGGTCACTATTATTAGTTTTACTTACCTGTTTTACTTTTTTTTTTTTTTAACAAGAGATGCCTCAAAAAGTGAAAGTAATCTGTAAAAGTTTGTCTTGCAAAAACCAAACACATCAATAAAACTTTTAAAATAAAATACTCAGTAGGGACATGATAGCTGTGCCCATGTATTTGAAGGACTATCATGCGGAAAAGGAACCAGATATGTTCTGTTTCTTCCAAGGACACAGAGCCAGAAACAATGAGCGGCAGTTACAAAGAGGCAGATGTGGTGTGGTGTCAGGGAAAAAACTCCCCAACAATGAGACCTGTCCAAAGTTGGATGGGCGGCTACCTCAAGAAGTTCTACCTCCTGGACTCTCTCTAAGCAGAGCTGGATGACTACTTATCAGGTACATTATAGTGGGGACCCCTTTTGTGTATGTACTAGACTGGACAACTTCTGAGGTCCCGTCCAACTCTCAGTCTGAATTTGGACAGTCTCACTATAAAGGGAACCAGGAAATAGAGGAAACTGCATTTAAGTGAATAAATTACTCAAGGAGTCATCTACTGAAGATGGAAGAAGGAAGTAAAGAGTTATTAGACTTGGTCATCTCATATTGCCATTCTCATGACAAATATAAGTAGAAAGACCATCATGAAGATAATTTCTGATTGTGAACCAAGACCTGTTGTAGGAGCTCCTTTAAGAACTAAAGCTGGTAGTGAGGAATCACTACCAGCTCTACCTGGGGTCCCCACAGTAGAGGGGTGGGCGAAGCAGGAGGGTGGGGAGCAATCTGGTAGTGGGAAGCAGAAACCTCATGCCCACCCCCTCACTCTCATGCAGCAGTCTAGAGACACGAAGACATTGCAGATAACTAGTCAGGGATAGTGGAACAAATAGGAATATGGGGAAAAGGAGGATCTGGGAGGGGGGATGGGAATCACTTTCAGAACAGATAACAGTGGGGTTCTGAATACTTTGGAGGAAGAGGAACTACTTTAGAAGGTTTGCACTCTGCTAGACTGAAGCCTCTGGCCACTAACTCTGTTGTGTTTACCTCCCTCTGAGGTCGGGGAAGAAGATACACCCCAGATATCTGCCCTCTATCCTGATCTCACCCACCTCCCTTTAAAACAAGCCAACAATAGTGGGGATGAGGAGTGGCCTCCAGGCTGGCCCTTCCTCTGAGGGTACCACAGGCCACACGTCCCAATGACAATTGCTAGATGAGGGAATTACACATTTTATGAGTCCCACCTTGTGGGGCACTCAAGTGACTGCCACAATTGGGACCATTTCAGCCTATCAAATGGATTGTAGTGGCAACCCCTCCACTGAAGAGTGTCAAACTAGTTGGAATATCAGTTCCAACCCAGGATGAGGAAGTGGAGGGGAAATAACAGCCCTATAGGCCCCATAGCAGCCAAAATAAAAAACCAACAGCTGTTATGTCACTCGTGTATCTGTCTACCTAAGAGGACCCTTCCCTGATAAATTCAATTGGAATAACATGGCTGGTTAAGTCTGCACCCAAGAAATCCCCTCAATAGCATGATGGATCCATGCTCAAATTGGCCATGGAAATGAATACATTGTGCAGGACCAGACCCACCAGCCCCTACTTCACCCAAGAAGAAGCCAACGAAGTGAGGGCTAGTTGCACTTCCTGCTAACTCCATTGCCACATAGAGGGGGAACCCTTAGGGGAGGGCTCCCAGAGGGTAATAGTCACCATTTATTGACAAATGGATTATGTAGGCTCTCTTTCATGACACCATGGTCACAGATATAGAGGGGACCCTAGGTGAGGCAGGGAGTGGGGGGCAATCTGTTAGAAATCAGTTGGTGAGAATAAATAGTTCCCAGTTGAAATAGTGGGCCACAGGACTGGGGAGAATATTGTGGATCGTGTCCACTAGATATTCCTCCTATATAGACTGGTGGGAAAAGAAGTGACTACACCTAGGAAAGAAGATATGGGCTGGTAAGAAGGAGAACTCTATAACCTGGCCTGTACTGTTGTTGCTTTATTTCCATAGGTAATACCGGACACTGGATGGGAACCAATGGATATGGTCTGATTCCCCATTCTCATTGTTCCTGTTGACCTATTTAATTTTCCACTTGGTTTTGGTCTTGATCATCAACTATACCAAGTCTATACCTCAAAAAGACCAAAAGAAAGAAGAAAAAAACCCATATATGCAAAATATTTATAGCTGCTCTTTTTGTGGTGGCAAAGAAGTAGAAATTGAGAATATGTCCATCAGTTGGGGAATAGATGAACAACTTACCATATATGAATGTGATGAGGAAATTTATAAGATATGAGGAAATAGATGGTCTCAGGGAAATTTAGGAAGATTTGTATAAGCTGATGCAGAATGAGGTGAATGGAACCGAGGCAAACCATTTATACAATAACAATATTGTAAAGACAAACAATTTTGAAAGACTTGGGAACTCTGAGCAGCATAATGACCAACCATGACTGCACAGGACTCCTGATGAAACAAACTTCCTACCTCCTGAGAGGTGGTGGATTCAGAGTTCAGATTAAGGTATTTTGTTTTGTTTTGTTTTTTGGACAAGGACAATGCAGGAATTTGTTTTGCTTAACTATGTGTGTTTGTAATAGGGGATCTATTTTTCTTGCTTTTACAATGGTAGGGATAGGGGAGGAGGAAGAGAGAAAAGGCAAATATTACTGAAAATAAAATAAAACCTAATTTTGAAAAATTAGTTTGAATGTTGGTTTGAATAATAATTGTTATTGGCAATTGCAAGTTTGTGGGTTCAGGCTTAGGCAAAGCTAATTTTTTTTATTATGGTGAATAGGAAAGGCTAAAAGATAAAATTACCTCCAGTGCCATCTCCAGTAGTAAAGTCTCCTCCTTGAATCATGAAATCTTTGATCACACGATGAAACTTGCTTCCTTTGTATCCATATCCTTTCTAAAGAGAAAAACTTCAACTGCATGTACAATAGTTTTAAATGACTGAATAGATAAACCTTAACATTCAGAGTTATACCTGAAGGAAAAAACTGGCTCTAGACCTAGATGAGCTAACTAGATTTTTGTGATGAGATATCAAGAAAAGAAAGTCGATAATTGAACTTAGCTAGCTCTGCTATTTAGCAGTTGTGTGACCTTAGACATATCCCCTCCTCTCTCCAAGTTTCAGTTTCCTCATTTGTTAGGTGAGGGAGTTGGATTAGATAACTCCTAAGGCCCTTTCTAGGTCTAACTCTATGATCCAGTGAAATGCTAAGCTATAGAGGCCAGACCAGCAGTAATATAAGTATGACTTAACCTCCAAATTCCTTTCCTTGATTTTCTCTCCCCCTTCCTCCACCCATCCCCCATCACATCAACTCCTGGAATCCAAGGTACCAAGAATACCTGGAAAACACAAAACTTAAAAAGGAGGATCTGCCCAATAAAAAAGTCACTGTTTCTTTGCAGCTACAGTGTTAATATCTATTTGCCCAAAGGCATATTTTTACTTTGAATAGTGGAAATAAAATCCTAACTTGCATATAGTTTGAAAGAAAATAAACCAGACATACTTCTCCAGTTGCCAGAGCAATGAAGTTCTCCACAGTCTTGGGTACAACTTTGCCAAACAAGCCAATTACAATTCTGCCTATGTCTTTGTCTCCAATTCTTATGTCAAAGAAGACCTGTATGTGTTAAAGGGCAGAGTAAAAGAACATAACACAGAAGAACCATGTGAGCAAGATGCATAAAAATTATACCTCAGAATTAAACACACAGACATTTTGCCTAGCAACAATATACAAAGAGAATGTCCTTTGATGTTATATAATTTTGATAAACTACAAAATCTATACAGTTTAAAATCATGGCATTTTTGAGGATATTTCATTTTATGAATTCTTTTGAAGACTTATTCAATACTCTGATTCAGCATACCAGGATCATAATATTCATTCATTCTTTTATTTCTTTTATTTATTCATTCATTCTTATATTTTATTCATACATTCACCATTTGTTAGGTGCCTACTATGTGCAGAGAACATTGTAGGTGGTGCCAGGGAGAACCAAAACAGGTATTTGCTAAAATTGTGTTTTCAGAAACTCAAGAATGAAAGGTAGACCTGGATGTTATTTTCTGTTTTCAAAGGTGATATATTCAAATACTGGTAGGAAAAAAAATTGCCGAGGAAGGAGAAAAGAGACAAAGCACCCACAGCTATCATCCAGACAGACTTCTTTATTTTTTGTAGCTTCTAACAGTGCCAAGAACCCAATGGGCATTCAATAGACATTTTCTGACATCTGGACCACAAGAGTCCATTAGAACATACTCTTCAGAAATGGATGGCCACTCACTGACATAAACACAGCTGTCACTTATCCTCAATTCTCTGCCCATACTACAGCATGTGCTATCATACTGTTGAGAGTGTAGATGACATTTCTTGGGAATCATAGAAATGTTTACAAAGCCTATTACCTATTCAATATGTCCAGACAGAGAATGGGTGGGAGAGGTAAACTAATAAAAGTGTTTCTTCTACCAAAAATGAAAGAAAGAAGGCAACTGAAACTTTTTTTTAAAAATTCACAAAAAAGAACAGAAGGAAGGACAGAAGAAAACACAGACAAGCAGGGCAGCTTTAAAAGTTTCATGTTGAATTTATTATATACTTAAATGGAAAAGCAGGCTATAGGTAAAAGAGATTTGAAGTTTCATGTACACTTCTCTTACTGTTCTATTTTGTATATGGAAGTGCAATTTTATTTGGTGCCTCTTAAGTTAAGAATAAAAAAAAAAACAAACCCTGAGCCATTTACCCAAATTACACAATTAATTTGTTCTCAGTGGTTTCAAAGTTATAAAAATGAAATTTAGCCTTACTTTTAAAGATTTTAAAAAGAAAACAAACACATTAGTTGGCAAGGTGTTTTATTAGAGATAAGACATTCTTTGGACTTAATAAATTTTTTGGACATTTTAACTGTTGGATCTGAAATGAAACCATACACACTTTCTTTCATGTAATCATAGTGTAACCATGATTTAGAGACAAAATGCTTGAAAAGGTCAAAGAGCCAAAGGGCATTCTATTAGTGAGTTTAGATTATATGAACCAATTTACTGTGTGAATGTGTTAAAAAAAAAAAAGACATTCGAAAGATGGCTTTAAAAATATAAGGGTTGTCAAAGAAAAAAGATGTCTTATAGTTTAGAAAAATCACTAAGTAAAGACTGTCAAGCTTTGCTTACAAGACAAGAGCTCCTGCCAATACATCAGTGCGTCTGTCACAGTATGATGTGGTATTTAGTGTTCTATGTGGCATTTTACAATTTTTACATGGCCAAAGCAGCAGGAGAGTTATTATTTATATATAGCTTTATAGAACTCAGAAAAATGAAGATCCTGCCCTTCAGAAGCAGCAATCTAGCTACAATTAAAAAAAAAAGAGCCAGGCATATTGTTAGTGTAAGACAATTTTATAAACAGATGCAGTTTTTAAGAAGGGATAGAATTTTTTTAACATACCATGAGGAAACTGAGCAAATTGTAGGATTCTTGGAATAAGCCAGGTAAGTTAACTTAATTTAGAGCATAAAAGGAGATTATGATGACTCGATTTTTAGAAGCTAAGAGAACCACAGCTGGGGGACTGGCCTGCTGGTGTAAGAGGTGAGGTCATTGAGTTGATCATTTGCTCCAAACTTCTTAAATAAGTGATAAGGTTTCCCTCCGATACCTTAATTGGGGGAGCACATGTTTCAATTGTTCCAGTTGATTGAGGACACTGGGTCTTACTTTGTGCACCATCTATAAAATAGTGAGACAGTTTGGGAACTAGAGATTTGGGCATCAGGAAGCTTTAAGGGACAATCTTCCAGCTAAGCCCCTTAGAGGGAATTGCTTGGGGTAGGGGGTGGGAAGCAGCTCATTCTCTTCCTTCTGCTCCCACTTTGTCAGGAGGAGGAGAAGGACTTTGTAAATTTCGAAGGACCAAAGAATTTGGACTTTTTTATTGGCATCCAAGTAGCATTTCTGGGACAGTAGTGGCTGGCATCAGTATCTGCATGACAAACCAAGAAAAGATTGGACTCAATGAGGAAATGCCTGTTCAAAGTTCAACAAAGTACACAGCATAAAAGCTACAATATGCTTAAGGGGAACTTTATGGGCAACCCATGAAAGGGAAAAAGGGACTCCTAGCAACCAGAAGCTATGAGTTACTACTTTGCTATATGTGTTTTAAGTTTGAGTCCACTTTCCCCTGGATTCTGCATATATTTGTGGGACGGACTTTGGTGTGTTACAGTCTTTTGGAGGAATTTATATACTAATTGTTTTTACTATGTTGTTGTTTAGTCTTTCTCAGTTATGTCTGACTCTTTGTGACCCCACTGGTTTTTGTAGCAAAGATACTGGAGTGGTTTGCTGTTTCCTTCTTCAGCTCTTTTACAAATGAGGAAACTGAGCAAATGGGGTTAAGTGACTTGCCCAGGGTCACACAACTAGTAAGTGTCTGAGGCCAGATCTGAACTTAGATGAGTCTTCCTGACTCTAGGCCCATCACTCTATGCACTATGCCACCTAGCTACCCATTCTTACTATACCACTTTAGCAAATACTTTTAACTCAAAGCTAATTAAGTTTGGATAATTATGGGAGAGAAAAACCTCTGTTGGGGGGCTTGTGAACTAGATTATCACACTAGGAAAGACACCTCTAATCCCTCAGGGCTATCTCTAAGAAACTAAGGCAACAAGTAAACCCCCTAAATTCAGGGGACCTGACTTGCCAGTGTGAGTGGAAGTTTGGGAGAGTGGCTCCACAGCATGTGCTATGCTGGTAAGAAGTGCCTCACTGTCTTCTCTGAACTCCCAAGGCACATGCTGTCCTACACCATTCTTTCACTGGGTCTTGTAGGTTGTATCTTTTCTCTTGTTATTTAACTCATTCTGATGTTTTGTAAGTTATTCAACAGGACTGGTGGTACACTGATGCTTTGGCACAGCTTCATTTGCTGTTTGCCTTCTGGGATTCATAGTGCCTAGAGAAGCGATGGGGTTGGGGTGTGGGGGAGGATGGTTTAAGGCTTAGAAGGTAACAGTGTTGGAGATGTGACTTTATAGAATTCCAGACCATGCCACTGAAGATTTTAAATTTATTACTCTCAGGCTATACCATATGAGCATAACCTTTGTATTATCAAGCCAACAATGTCTCAGATTCTGCCTGA